CTTTGGGCTTAGAGGCAAAAAACCCAAAAAATATGGATTAAATATTTAGTTAAAAAATACATTGTAGTTGACTGCTTAAAACAAAAATATAATGAATCACAATGTATACCAAACCGTTGAAATACTAAATAGATTTAAAAATAATGTTGACTATTTTGTGTTTAAGAGTGGCTTTGGAAATGAGCGAGTTTAAAAATTAATAGTATGACTTTGGATTTAGAACAAAATTATACAAGGTTATAACAAAATATAGAAACTCACATATGATGAGATGGTGAAAATGTAAAGTGAGTTTAAGATTTGTTTGAATGAGTATTTTGGATCTTAAGAGTGATCTTGGCGGTGAGTGACTTTAATAATAAATGAAGGCAAGATTTTGGGCGTATACACAAGAACTCCTTTTAGGAACGGAGCAAGTCTAAAAGGCAATGAGCTAAAAATTTAAGTTTATACACAAAATATTTTCGATGCCACCTCATTAGCGTTGAAAAGAAAATGCAACATTGTTAAGTATTTGATTTATAAAATACATGGTGTACCAAAACAGTAGGATTTCTATGAAAACCACACATAAAAATGGGGTACTTACACCACTAATAGAATAACTATAATTCGTAAACTAACCATTTAACCACCCATGAGTGGTATAAACTATCTTATTAGGTGCAGTGTTCTGATAGAATCGCTACTCTACCTAACCACTAAGAACAAAATTTTACATGTTAAAATAAAATATAACAACTTTTATGTATAGAAAACTGCTAGACTACTTTTGATTTAGAAAAATATCTTTACGAAGTGGGAATTTAAAAATAAATGAGCATAAAACCTTGAACTTATAGGAAAGAACTCATCTACCATTTGCGACATTACAACAATGTGAGAAAAACCTAAAATAATGCTTAAGCATTTGGTCTAAAACATTGTACACCTAGATTCTTAGAAAAGAAATATAGTAAGTCAAAGTGGAATATAACAACTTGAACCATATGTACAAACCGTTACAAATTGAGTTTAAAATAGGTTGGTGTAGTTTTTTGACTCTTAAGAGTGATTTTCGAGGTGTGTGATTTAAAAATAAATAGATCTAATACTTTAGATTTATAATAAAAAATCCTTGTAATGGGTATGCTTGAAAATAAATAAGGATAAGATGTATAGCTAAATAATCAATCTATAGTTGCAACTTATGATATAACAAATTTATGAAATATAAATTAAGTTTAAAAGTCATTCATTAGAGTATTTTAGGTCAAAGACTGGTTATGAAGTGAGTGAATTTAAAAATAAATTAAGGAATTTTGGGTTTATAGCAAAAAAACTCTTTATATGGTCACTCATTATTATATTATATTATTGGAATTGATGGAGTATTTCAGGTTTATGATTAATTTTGCAAGTGGGTGAGCTTAAAAGTAAATTGGGTTAGCTTAGTGAGTTTATAGATAAAAATCTTTTTTTATTTATTATTACTTTTAGCTACAGTGGACTAATGTTGTGGAGCTGAGAAAAGTTTTAAGCCCGCGGAGCGTTATGTACTTGAGATGGATTTTTGAAGTGGTGGACTTATAAGCAAATTGGGTTGAATATTGTGTTTGTAAAAAATTACTTATCGTCTCTTTCAGTGTTGTAAAAAGCGGGCAATAGCGTCGCGAATAACGGTCGAGGGGGTTCAGCGCTACGCTTATGGGGTTCGTAGCGTGCTTAAGCGGAAAAAACCGCTATTCGTTCGAATAGTCCGTAATAGCGCGTTTTAGTGCTTAAAAGCGCTTTAACTCGCTAAACCCGCCCAACTTTTTTTGCCGCAAACCCGACCTATACATGACCCGTACCCATTATACTTAAACCCTCCCCAACTCCCGACTGCTTTTCTCAACTCCCGAACCTTATCGTGCCCTAGCGGCCTCTCCCACTCCCGAGTCCCGATCGCTTCTCTGAGTTGTCTCCCACTCCCGACTTCCGATGACGACGACTTCCGACGACGTCGACGCCGCCTCCGGTCAACGACGACTCCGACTCCGACTCCGACGACTTCCAGCGACCTCCATAGTTCTAGGCTCCTGCAACTTCCGACGACTGTCTTCCCTCTCCGACGACTGTCCTCTATCTAACGACGATTGTCCTCTCTCTCCGACGACGACCGTCCTCTCTCCTACGGCCCTCCGACGACGACGACGACTGTCCTCTCTCAACCCATCTCTCTCACCGTCTCACAGTTCCTCCAGCGACTTCCACAGAGATTGTGAGGACTCAACTTAACTCTCTCACTTCCTCTGGTGTAACAGGCAAAGCTTCTCTCCGGCAACATCTCCATCTCTGTTGGGCAGCAGCTTCATCTGTAACATAGAAAAAGGTAATCAACTAATTATGATGCTATATTTCTGTAACAAAGAAAAAGGTAATCAACTAATTATGATGCTATATTTCTTAATTTTTCTTACTATTTAAGATATTTAAATATATTATATTTGACCGCTATTTGACTGTGCGCTATTCGTCGCTATTTTGTCGCAATAGCCCAAAATAGCCTTAGCAGTACCTCGTCGCGACGCGCCGCGTTCCGCTATTAGCAACCTTGGTCTCTTTTAGCAATAAGCTATTGGGGTGTATTGTAGAATGAATAGTGGTAAGCTACAATACTAACCACAATAGCTTTATTATATATAAATTTTACAAAACTACCACGAAACTTGGGGAGTTTTGCCTAAAACTACCATGGATTTTTTTTATTAGAGAAAACTACCATGAACTTCATAACCTTTACAAAATACCATGAATTATTGAAAATTGTTGATAGATGTTAACAACGATAACATGTTAGTTGAAAGATCATGGTTCCATTATTTATTCTAGGCTAAAATATCAAAGTGGCCTAAATAGCACATTTACCACTTTGGCATAAAAAGTGACATCAACAATAATTTGACTTAATAAGTGACAAATCGACGACAAATAGGCTTTTTTGATCGCCTAAATAATTTTTTAGCAAAAAATTAAAGAAATTTTATGTATAGACCACTCAATCTCTCATGATTTTTAAATTAACACATCTCCTTTTCCTAAATTTCTGAAATTTATAAAAAAGAACCCTCTTTTTCCACTATCTTCTTCCTCCTTCCCACCATCTTCTCCATTCCCTTATTCTTCCTATACCCTAACCTTCCTTCCTCCCTCACTCCCTCTCCTACCTTATTTCATGGATAATCACACTTACTTTCTAATTTCCTTCATCTCCTCCAATCTCTTTTACTCCAAATCCCCAACATCTCCTCCTCTCTCCCATTCCCTCTTCTTTCTTCTCCTCTTCCTTTCTCTCACTCTCTCTTCCTACTTGCTTCACCCACTCCCAACACCCAAATTAAACATTCCACCACAATCTTAACCTCATTCTTCTCTTCTTTTTTTGCAGTCTCTCTTCCTCTTTGTTTCCTACTCCTCTTTCTTCCTCCAATCATTAAAAAATCAATCTCCTTGAGAGTGAGGATATGTGAAAGAAAGGAGAGAATGGTGACGATTGGGAAAAGAAAAGAATGAAAGAGACGACAAGAAGGATGAGTGAAAAGATGGTGGGAAGGGAGGAAGAGAGGAGTTCTTTTTACAAATTTTGAAATTTGAGGGGTTAAATCAAAAAATATGAGAAATTTGAAGGGTATATATAAAAATCTCTTAATATTCTTGCTTAAAAATTGCTTCTGCTGATCGGAAAGGTTTATTTGTCGCTAATTTGTTACTTTGTAGGTCAAATTGTCGCCGACATTACTTTTTAGGCCAAAGTGGTAAAGAGGTGGCAGTATTTACGCCAATTTGGTATTTTAGCCATTTATTCTACAATTCACCATGAAAAAGTAAGGTATATAAAGACAGTTAATAATGGAAAATTTGTCCAAAACATATCATGTGCAAAGTACGTGACTAGTTACACTAATTGCTATCATGGATGGTAGTTTAGGGGGAAAATGTTCATGGTTGTTTTCTGTAATAAAGAAAAAGCTTATGGTAGTTTTTGTGAAAGTACATGGCAATTTTTTGAAACCCTTAATTTATGGTGAGATTTAGGTTCTATATAGGTACAAGTGTCAAGTGTGTTACCAAAGGCATGTGTCTCATGCATCCTGCGATGCGGGGCGCCAGCAAAGCTGATGTGGCGGCGTCTTTTTGCGCCTCGCAAGCAAGTTTGTGCGGGGCGCATGCAAGGCATAGCCTTGAAATTTTTTGTTCTTTAGCATTTCACTTAGGCCTTTATACCCGATAATCCATACCCTGAAAAGCAAAATAAACCTATTGCGCCTTTTTAGTAGCTCGATTGAGAACCCTACTGATCGATATTAGTCTTGATTTAACTTTCGGTTTAGAAAATTTTGAACTTTGCTACTATGTTGGATGCATTAGCATTATAAATTAGGTTATTTTGTGATTTGTTTTAGTAGATATTATTTCACATATTTCGTGTGTAATAATTCATAAACTTGTTCTTTTGTGCTTGATTATTTATCTTGAAAAATTATGTTTGCGGAATGTGGCTCGCTTCACTTGGGTGCGTGCATTGTATTGTGCCTTGCATATGTGCGCATAAAGGGACTTTGCGCTCCACATGACGCCTCGTGCATTGATAGCATTGCCAACTCCTGTAGATTATTGTAATAGTAGCAGACCCTACTTATTCTTGTATGCTTAGAAGTTATGCATGGTTTCCTGCTAGTCTGCTACTTTGTTAAAAAAAGAAATTCATAATCATATCTTATATGTACGTTTATGAAAAACATAACAATTAAAATTTTTGATACCATTTGAATACTAGTATAGGACTGGGAAATTTTGGGTTGTAATGTGCTTGCTTTTTGTTCATCCCATGGTTCTGTAAAAGAGGATGTACTTGAATGTTTTCTTAGAAGACTTTGAGGGAATTACTAACTGGTGATCAGAAGTGGTGTACAAGCTGTCTGTCTGCACAGCGAAAATGCATTTGTTGCTGACATAGGCGCGTATCCTTTTTGAAAGACAGAGATGATGGGCCAAGTGAAGCTTATCTTGTTTAGGGTGCATTTGTAAATAAATATTTTTTAAAAATAATCTTTTCTGAAAACTAATATTTTCTGAACAGTGAACACTAATAATTTTCAAAAAAAAATATTTTTGAAAAAAAAATATATTTTTGGAAAAATATATATTTTTGAAAAAATAATATATTTTTAAAAATATTTTTTTGAGAAGAAATGATTCGTTGCAACCTAATTGGATTTGTAGTTCATTTTGGTTGTGACTCGACTTGCACCCAATATTTTTGGCTGCAAGTTAAAAAGTCGCAACTACGGAGGTTTTGCAATTCCAAATGACTAGTTGGAACAAAATAAACACTTGCAACTGGGCAAAAATGGTCAAGTTGCATGCAACTGCACTTGCAACAACTACAGTTGCAAGATACAAAAACGGCCCCTTAGTGTCACGTCTGAGCATGCTGAAGCTTGAGATAGCTTTGGTATCATTGTACTTCTAATCATAAGTTCCCCTTGATTAGCTAGCTTTCCATTGATTTATCATATCAACTGTGAGCTTCTGAAACCAAAATAGGTTTATCCTTTCATGTACTTGGATCACCGTGTCGATCTATGTCCATGCTCCATGGGATGAATAGAGATAATGCAGAGGATTTATGAATGTCACGTTCTGAGAAACTGTACTTTTTAGAATCTGTAAATTTTCTTTATGTGTGTTTTCGTAATGATTCTAATTGAATTTAGACATACTTTGAGGTTTCAATGGCTATAAATTGTCTTTTGATTAGAGAGACCTATCAAGCATTCTTAGATCTGTGCAATGGATTACCTGTGATGCTTCATTTACTTCTCAGGTACTATTCCAGGGAGGATACTGAGGATGCAGTCAAATATATTAGTGGTACAATTCTTGATGACCGGCCAATTCGTGTAGATTTTGACTGGGGGTTTGAAGATGGAAGGCAATGGGGTCGTGGTCGAAGTGGTGGACAAGTTAGTTCATGGATCTTTTCAGCTATCTACCACCTGTGCTTTCTGGTTCTTTAAGGAACTTTTACTCGCTCTAATGTGGTACCTTTTTCACTTTTCACAGGTGAGGGACGAGTATCGGACTGATTATGATCCTGATATCCTCTACTGGCTGTTTGCAATTTTTTTCAACTTCCCAGTTTTTCCTTGTTTTCCTTTCTTTTTCTTTTTTTGTCAGTATCATTTTTTTTATGCCTCTATAATAACTTTTTTATGTTTGGGAATATGAAGAATGTTTTATCCTGGCCAGAGCGTCATGAATGTTGTAACTGGCTTATGCTATCACTTTGTTATGGACCCAGCCTGCCCCTTCGATATATTCTACTTTTGGGTCTATTATCTTCGGAGGCACATGGAACTACTTTATCATGAAAACTTTCTTTCAACACCCAAACCCAATTGTAGTGTAAATTCCATCTGCATTGCACGTTGTGCTTATTCTTTTACTGCCTGTCCAAGCCAAGACAATAGAGGAGGTTTATTAAGAATCTAAGGTAGCCAGCACTATACATAATTGATAATACTTAGTTGGATCTCTTTGAATGGATCTCTTAGAGAGCATTTGTTGGAGTGTCCACTGTCCCCATCGTGGTACATTGCATCATAGTTGCCTGGCATAATGATAAATTGTTAAGTGAAGATGACTCTTAGCAAAACTGATGCAATAAAAGCATTAACACACTGACCCTAAACTCTTGACAAAAGCTTTCTTATTGTTTTATCTATTTCTAATTAAGTAAGCTATATTTCAATTTTTCCTGATTGCAAGACTAAATTGATAGGGCCTAAATTGGAGTTCCAGATACAAGAATTCTACTTACACCGAGAATGAAATCCTAAACCACCTCCATAACTACAGTTCATATCACATCTCTAGGCCAATTGATGGCATTTGGATAGGTTAAGATTCTTCATATAGTAGTGAATAAAATTGATTAGAGTGCAAGCATTCTGTTTGTAATTCCTCTGATGTGAAATCACATGCAACATAATGAAATTCGGAGAAAGAAACATAGATGACAATATGGAAAACAGCTTTGGAGAAGAGGTGATATTTCTACAATGCTTTGGAATATGCTTGTTTAAGGGCATGTTTGGATTTCATTGGGAGTAGGGGAAGTCAAGGGGAAATAGGGGAGGGAAGAGAATGGAAGGTAAGGGAATTCCGTTCCCCTCAATTCCACCCCAATTTGGAAGGGAACAAATTTCTATTGATTGTAGGGGAATCTAGGGGAATGAGAAGGAATGCTTCCTCTCTTAAAAACTTCCTAAACAGGGTGAATGGATTCCCCTACGTTCCCTTCTCCCCTATTCCCCTCTATCCAAACAGGCCCTTAATGCCTGTTAGTGTTATTAGACATTGGGAAAATCCAACTTATATGGTAAGAACTTAAAAGGTCTACCTGCAAATCCAGTGTAGTTTATTGAAGTTTCTAATGATATAACACAGTGAAGGAGTGCTGATAAAATTACTGTCGCATCATATGAAATGATTTGATCAAGCTGAAAATCTTGAGACTGGGAAAATGGTTTTTCTTGGAAGAAAAATTTAAGGTCTATAAGTATATATTTAGATTTACACATAACATTGCATCTGCACAGCTTCTTTTTCTTTAATTTAATTGAAATTTGATATTTGCATTCAGATGAACTAACTGCCTTTGACATGTCCTTTCACTCAGTTTCAAAGGTTTAAGCTCCTCTTGAGAGAGTTCATCATGCTATTTAGATTCACTATCTAGTAAAATCTACTGGTCCAGTGTAATAAATAATTATATGGATAATAAGGTTAAAAACAAAGTTATTGGTGGACTAGCTGCGGGACTGAGCAAAACTATGAGCAGTCGGAGGATAACATGCTTCTCTGTGAAACCAAATCCTACTTATAGGGTAAATAAATGATAGAATCAGCATCCATGCTATTTCTGCTGGTTATGAACTGGTCTCAATCAGAATACCAAAACACATTTTTTGTTCAAAACCATGATGAATTTATCAAATAAGCCGCTGCAAAACTTTCTTTTGTTTCTCATAAACTATGATGGGTAAACATGGACTAAAAGTGTTGTGCTCCGGCAGTATCGAACACAGCAGTTGTCCAAAATCTAGACAAGAGGATACATCTATTTGTATTGCACATGAATAAATGTATATGTGACTAATACAAATATGTGTCTTTATTGATATCTATACTAAAGAATCTAATATTAGTTGAATGATCCTATCATACACCATCTTGTAGAACATTCATGGTAAACAGAAGTTTTCAGACACAAGTTTCTTAGGCAGAAGTGTTTTACATGATTGTTTGTAAATTATATATACTTCATATTATTTTGCATGTTTCCTTGAGATCTCTTCTAAAATTGTGAAGTTGTGCGTTTCTCTAACTTATCGAAATTTCTGGTTGATAAATAGCTATATATTTTTTCCCCCTTAACGACTGATACGTAGAGGTGGCTATGGAAAGTTGGTCCAGAAGGAGCTGGAAGCACAAAGGGAGTTAGTTGATTATGGTACAGGTTCGTTAGGAGATTTCCAACCTAACATGCCGTCTCAGTGTAAGTTCCTAAATCAATAGTCCTAAAGCTAATGTCTGTTGATTTTGTCCTTGTTAATCGTTTGTACCGTGTTTTGATGACATGCATTCGTCCATTCTGCATTAGGCATGCTCAAATCTTCACTTCATCGAACCTGTCAATGCCAGCGTACTTTATGTGTATGCACATACATGCATATATGCATATTTTTATATATGTAGATGTGTGTTCTCTCCATGCTTTTTACGTTCTTGATGACTCTTAAATAAAATTCCTTTTCTAAAAATTCCATTGAATAAATTTTAACTAATAAAATCCCTGGAAAGGTTCTTTCGTTGTTACTCCTTGTAATGTTTATTTACCACAGTATGTGAGCTTTATTGCAAAACTTATTTTAACAAGCACGTGATAGTGGTGGCAATAAAGGTAAATGAGTAGTTTACACTTTGTTCCAAAGAGGATCACGTTATTTGCAGGTAGATAATAAAGGTAGAAGATTTTATGTCTTGCAAAAGATGTTGTCCAAAGTTTATTAAATAGGTCGGCACTGGAGGAAACATCACATAGAGACTATCATTAACTTTCTTAGTTGTTGTCAGTCATCAACATTGTAGACATTATTAACCAATGTTTATCACCATTTTCTTCTTCACATAAACATCTAATGTGATGCCAAATTTCCCTGCTAATTTAAATGCAGTTATTTCCATGAAATGATTTATTGTCATTCGAGCGTTTCCTATCGAAACATGATAAGCTATAGAAAAACACTTAATTGGTAAGACTTCATGGAAAAATCACCTAATTTTACAGTTATGTTTAGACATAGACCCTTTTAAGTCAAAGCCAGTTCCTGCAAGCAACTATGTCTAAAAGTTCTACGATTGCTACAAGTCTAGTTTGCTGATGGGCTTATGTTCATACGATAAAGGCTCATGCAAACGGGGGTATAACTTCCATAATTCTTCCAGCAATGAAACTGTTTTAGCATGCAGAAATCTGCAATTGCATCTGCAAGATGCGAAAACCAGTTGTCCGTTATGCCTACTTATTTCTTGTGGTAATTTCTGACTTTTTTTAACAACAAGAATTGAGGGATCACCTTTTCTAAAATTATGTGGGACCAAAATGATCTCAAGTATTTGTAAAAAGTGGTTCGTTTTTTGTAACTACAATTACGAAAAATTTAAACTTGAAGGGAATTAAATAGTGTCAACTGCAATTATAACTATATTTTTCAAATTGCAGCGTGGTAGTTATGATAGTTCATGGACCAAACAACCCTAGAAGGCATGGTTGTATTTGTTGATGTTGTGCATTATTTACTCCCTCTAATTGTCTAAGCTATTTGTATCTAACTGCAGATGGTCGACAAGGTGGTAACCGTGGATACAGGAATCCTTACAAATATGAACGCAACCCACGTGATGATCGAGGTCGTGGAGATCGTGGTAAGTTTCCTATTCTGCTCAAAATATTAACCTGATAAAAACTATGTTTCTTGTTTGAACTGCATTTAATATTGAACTGCCATACTTTGATGATCACAGACTATAATAGAAAGCGGTACAGGGATGATGATCGTGCACCTGAGATGTCAAAGAGGGCTTCTGACTATGAATCTCGAAAGAACTCTGATTATGATTCTAGACCAGTATGTTCTCTTTTCTGTACCAAATTGTTTGTTGTCGTTAAAAATGAAAATATGTTTTCAATTTTTTTTTATCTGCAGGAGAGAAACCCACGCTTTCGAGAGAGTGGAGATTCAGATGAAGAAGAAGATGATGATAGGAAACGTCGTCGCTAGATGTGTAATGTCATGTTTACTGTTTGTGTAATGTTGAGTTTGGAGTTTTGCCATATGTTTCACCAAAAATTGTATGTTGAACTGTTTTGAAGTTTGGAACTCATTTGGATAATCAGACGATTTTCGATCAGAATGACATGGGAAATGGAGTTGGTAATTAAAAGTGCGCTTGCTTTACCAAAGATCAGTAGGATAATGGATTTGGTTTAAAAAAAAAACAATTCAGCAACATCGGGGAAAAAAACTTTGTTTATCTTTTTTAATACAGATGCCAGTATCGAATATAGACATGTAGATACACAATATCAAAAGGAAGTCATGGGATATGCAATTCAATGTATTAACAATATGAACAATACTTTCTGTGACTTCGATACCTTTAAATTCTATATTTCAATAAATCATCGATGATTATATAATAAAGCATTATTTCATAATAAAGACCATCTTTATCCCAAATTTTTGGGATTGGCTATTGGAAGTTCTATATTTGGGTATCTTTTTCGTTAAAGTTAATTATTATGGCTTCGAATCAAGTTTTTTTATGGCCTGCCTCTAGGTCCCTTCACTTGAGTAATTTTACTATTGTTATTTTTCCTAACGGTTGTATTAAGAGGTCTTCGTTTGTGCATAGCCAATTCATCTCAATCAACTTTCTCTTATTTTATCATCTATAGTGCATAGCTGTGAGACCATGTAACATTCTTATTTCTTCTATGTTCATTCTTTGTACATGTTTTTTTCTAATTGTACAACATTCTTATTGGTGTTAATAAATGTTTTGTAGAATTTTTCCTTCAGTATATTACATATCTTACGATCATATAAGCAGTGTTGGAACTAGAGATTTCCATTTTTTTGTTGGGTGTTTTTTTTAGGGGTGGGGGGTGGGGGTGTTAAAGGCATCATACTATGCATCAGTGAGAAAAGCTATCAAATATAACAATGTATGATGAATTTTCATAAATGCAAGCAGGTGAAAAGGAACTTGAAATATTAACTTATAAAAAAATCATTTTTATGAATACTTCAATCATTTTTTCTGTGCAAACATTTAATAAGACATGCTCTAATCCTCTAAATTTATTTTTGCATAAGTCATAGTTGGTTTTCAATAACCATGAACTATAAATTATAATATTTTTGGAGACATTATAAATTGATAACGGCTGTAAATTATACCAGAAAATTCATTTCCAATGCTAATAAAAAGAAAGAAAGCCATTTTAGCTATGTTGTTTGAAAATAATTGCAGTACATGAACATAGAAAACCCATCTTCAATAATTTAGTTATAAAATCCTTATCAAAACATGTATAGAAATCTCATTTCACATATCTATTTCTTAATCTAGAAATTTATGGCATTGGTAAAACCCCATCCACAATTCACCGCAAATACAGAAACACGTGAAAATATAAATATTCGTGTCACAATTCTATCATTAAATGCAAAATAACAGAAGTATATTGCTTTCATAATTTATTTTAGTTAGGTATTGTATATATAAGGTTTGTTGGATTAATTAGCCCCTTAAATGTTTAATATTTTGACTTATTCCCTCAAATTATTAAAAGTGCTATTAACTTCTCTTTTTAAAATGAGTAATTTCTTAACAAAATTCAAAATTATGATCCAACTTTTTGGGGGCAAAGAATGTTTAGAATGTCGTGCGCCTATGCGGAAGCGTGCACGCGCACCGAACGAATCTGTGATCACGGAGAAGAAGATGAACCACACACAAGCACAATCCAATCCAAATACAACAAATCCAACCAAACACAGAGATATACGTGGTTCGGCAATTTGCCTACGTCTACGGGGAGATGATGGGGAGAATCCACTAAGTCAATAAGTGTACAAAAGGGTTACAATCACACAAAATCACTCAAACTAACCCTCAACCAAAGCTCTCAAATTGCTTACAATATCTTCCTCTCACAATGCTCAACAGCCTCTCTGAATCTCTGTGTTTGGTTGGATTTATCGTATTTGGATTGGATTGTGCTTGTGTGTGGTTCATCTTCTTCTCCGTGATCACAGATTCGTTCGGTGCACGTGCACGCTTCCGCATAGGCGTGCGACAAGTGGTATCAGAGCTCAGATTTCAGATCTAGGGTTTTGGATTAGGTGGAGGAAGATTCAGTTGGAAGCTTGGTTCTTGGAGTTCTAGGCTTCGGTGGAGTTAGGGTTTGAGGTTGCCGTTGAAGATCTCGCTTTCCTCGTGTGGATAGGACTTCTATTTGGAATCCAATCTAGGGTTCAGTTGGGTAACTTCTAAATTCTATAAAGTTTGAATCTTTCTTTGCAATTTAGAGTTTGTGATTATGGGTGAAAAAGTTGGTGAAAGCAGCAAGATGGCGAGTACAGTTCAAGTTGGTTTTTAGAACACTAGGATTAGTGTGGTAAAATATGACGGAAAAATCAATTTTGGTTTGTGGATGAGCAACGTACAGGATGCGCTTAATGCTCAAAATTTAGAGGAGACCAACATGGTCGATGAGAGGCCACCTAAATATGAAGAGGCGATATGGGAAAAGATGAATAAGAACGCTTGTGGGGTGATCAGCTCTTGTTTGGAACAGGTGTTGAAATATGATGTGATTGGGGTGACGTCTGCAATGAAGATGTGAGAAATTCTCAACAATAAGCACCTTACTAAGAGTGTTGAGAACCGTTTGTACTTGCTGCGAAGATTATTCAGATTTCAGATGTCCAGAAGCACCTCACTTGCGGCTCATGTGAACAACTACACTAAGTTGTTGTCAGACTTGGCTAACGTGGATGAGAAGATCACGGATGAGTACAAGGCTATTATTCTTTTGGGCTCCTTACCGGATGAGGAGTATGATACCTTCGTGCTTACTCTGTTGAACGGGAGATCTTCTATCACTTATAGTGAACTGACTAATGCATTGACGAACTACGATTTGAGGAGGAAGGATAATGAGACTTCCCGCGCTAGTACTTCAAGAGAGTCCTTGTCGACGAGAGGTAGAAGCCCATATCCGAAAGGTAGAAATAGAGCAAGGTCAAAGTCAAGAGGTCGTCACCAGCTAGGAAAGAACCAATGTGCATTCTGCAAGGAACAAGGGCATTGGAAAAGAGATTGTCCAAAGGTCAAAGAGAAGGAGAATAACAAGAAAAAGGGTCCGAAAGCCAATGAGGTGAATGTTACGAAAGGCGATGATTCCGATGATTCGAGCTTTTCTCTTTTGATTACTCCGGAGGTGAACCATTTGGATGCATCAGATTGGATGCTTGATTCTGGCGCTACTTATTATATGACCCCTAGGCGAGATTAGTTTGCATCATTTGAGAGGCTTGATAGGGGTGTTGTTGTCATGAGAAATGATCAATCATGTAGCATTTGTGGGATAGATACCATGCGGATTCGGATGCACGATGGAGTAGTCCGCGAATTGAAGGAGATGAGATTCGTTCCTCAGCTGAAGAAGAATCTTATTTCTGTTGGAGCTTTGGAGGCGAAGGGATTCAAGGTGACCTTTGAGGGCGCTGTAGCAAATGTTACTAAGGGATCTTTAGTGATGATGAAGGGAGTCTGTAGTCGGAACTTATATTATCTGAAGGGGAGCACCGAAGTTGGCCAGGTTGCTTCAGCTATTTCAGAGGCGGACATGAGCAGACTTTGGCACTACAGGTTAGGACACACAGAAGAGAAGTCATTACAGGCTTTGTGCAAGCAGGGGCTATTGAAATGAGCCAAGAGTGGAAAAGTGGATTTCTGTGAGTACTGTGTTCTTGGTAAGAAAACAAAGGTGAAGTTTGGGACTACTATTCATAGGACGAAGGGCATCCTGAACTACGTGCACACAGATGTTTAGGGTCCCACCAAGACAGCATCACTTGGTGGTCGATATTAGTTCGTCATGTTTGTTGATGACTATTCTAGGCGTTGTTGGGTGTATACCATAAAACATAAGAATGAAGTTCTAGATTTGTTTGTGGAGTGGAAGAAGAGATTAGAACTGCAGACTAGGAGAAAGATCAAGACGTTGTGATCTGACAATGGCGGCGAATACACTTCAAACCCCTTTTAGCAGCTATGTCGAGACGAGGGCATAGAGAGGCACTTCACAGTTAGTCATACACCACAGTAGAATGGGGGTGGTAGAGAGGCTGAATCGGTCTTTACTGAAGAAGGTCCGATGCTTATTGGCGCATAGTGGTTTGGAGAAGATCTTTTGGGCTGAGCCACTTTCATATGCGAGCCACCTCATTAATAGGCTGCATTCATCTGCGATTGTGGGGGAAACCCCTATGGAGATGTGGTCGGGAAAGATAGCATATGACTATGACCAGCTCAAGGTATTTGGTTGCCCTGTATATTATCATGTTAGAACTGATAAGTTAGAACCTCAAGCTAGGAAGGCCATATTTATAGGATTCAAGCGTGGTGTAAAGGGATACAAGCTTTGGGATCCAGTTGATAAGAAGATTGTGCTGAGTAGGGACGTCACGTTTGATGAAGCTTCTATCTTGAAGCTTCCCAGCTCTCATCAGGTGGAGAGCGACCCGACAGAGGAGACATCGCATGTGGTGGAGATCGATGCAGCTCCACAGTGTCCAGATGGTGCAATATCCATTAGAGTGCCGACTGAGGTGATGTCAGGCAAGCACAAAAGGTGATATGGAGGATACAGGTACTGATGTGCAGGATCAGGGACCGACGACTCAGGTTTAGGATTCTATTGCGGTTCGGAGACAAAGGAGAGACATACGGGTGCCAGCACGGTATGCCGACACAGTTGCGTATGTACTTCCGGTGGAGAGTATTGATGAGATGGTGTCTACTACATTCAGAAAGGCCGAGCAGAGTTCGGAGGCTGATTCGTGGCAGGTAGCTATGCAGGAGGAGATGAAGTCTCTTCATAAGAACGATACATGAGAGCTTGTTGAGCTTCCAAAGGGGCGGAAGGCGATTGGTTGCAAGTGGGTATACACGAAGAAGGAGGGTATTGAGGACACTCCATTGAGGTTCAAAGCTAGTTGGTTGCGAAGGGCTATGCACATGAGGAAGTTATTGACTATAATGAGGTTTTCTCTCCGGTGGTGAAGCACTCTTCGTGTAAGGACCGTGAATTTTGATACTAGTTAAAATAATTTTTTAGTATTCTAAAATATTTAATTATAATTTTTAAA